GCAATGTATTATTAGCTGGATCATAAAGCAGAGAGGATGCCATACATTCTGGGATACATCTGCAGTAAGAGGCTTCACCTCAGGTATTAATTCTGATCAACTAAGCATCAGACTTAAGATGAATGGTGAGAAGGATTCTGAGGCTGCTTCTAGACTTAGCAGGAATAGAACTTTAATACATAAGCAACAGTTACTATGGATAATGTTGGCAAGAAAAAACACACCATGATCTATTCTAATAAAAGGGTAATATGTTAATTAGACTGCACATCTTCCAGACGACCATCAGCACATCCTTCCTGACAAAGCCGGGCCCAGGCGAAGCAGCCTGCCGGCAGTCCCGGGCACCAGTGCCTGCAGCTGGCTGTGGCCCGGGAGACGGAGAAGCTGCCCACCCTGTGGTCCCGGACACCAACACCTGCGGCTGCAGCCCGGGCGAAGCCACCTGCCCACCATCCCCTGCGGCTGCAGCCAGCCTGGGCAAAGCCAGCCCGGGTCCCGTGTGCCTATGGCTGACCAGAGGAAGGGAAGCCCGGGTCCCAGGTGCCTGTGGTCGGCTGGAGGAGGGAATCCTGGGTCCCGGGTGCGGGGCTGAGGCAGAGATGGTTAGGGTCAATCAAGCCAGCAGGGGAGCAATTGGGGATGATTAGGCTGGCAGGCAGAAGCAGTTAGGGGCAATCAGGTAGGCAGGTGAGCGGTTAGGAGCCAGCAGTTCTGGATTGTGAGAGGGATGTCCGACTGCCGGTTATCCCCCGAGGGGTCCCAAATTAGAGAGGGTGCAGGCTGGGCTGAGGGACACCAATCCCCTCCTTGCACGAATTTCGTGCACCAGGCCACTAGTTATATTATAATGAACTCCAAAGGATACAAACTCTAGTTTTCTGCCATTGTCTAAGAAATACAACTTCCTCTATGCCTAGTATCTTTCTTGTTCTAACAGAGCTTCAAATATTATACTAAAGTTCCTTTCTCTTCCATCCCCTCAACTGTAATCATCTCTGTTCTCTATTCTTAGTATTTACCTCCATTATCAGGCCTACTTTCCAACACACTATCAAATTTGTAATCTGACATATTTGACACTTGCCACTCTGAAACCTTTTTCCTCTTCACTCACTCCTTTACCAGATGCCTCATTTATACTTCTTAGCCTCAGCAGTGTTGACAATGAGGCATTTAGAAGCATCACCAGCTAATGAGAGCACTTCTGGTTCATGAACAAACCATTAACATGATGGTTTCTGTCGATTATTTAGCTTATTGCTCACACGAGAAGGCTGGGGTTGTTTTTCTGACTATTGCAGCTATTCCTTCAGTTCAGAAAGTTCAAATGTTAACTCTGTAGATTATTAAAGTGAAAAACACTGCTCTTCAAATACTGTCAAGAGAGTCCAGCTTCATTATTACCATCAACAAAACATGTGCTAAGAGTTGATTTCTCTACTTACACTGATAAATCTGTGCTCATTTATCTACTCATCCAGTGTCCCTTCTCTGACCAATAATGTGCATTTTTGCAAAGCAATAGCCCTCCAAAGGTAGTAGTATGATCAGAGAACAGAGTATCCCTTACCAACTTACTCAAGAATAAAGCCTAAAATTCTGTTACCATTAGAATGAAAACAGCTAAGTTATGCTTCAAAATGTTCATCAAATATTACCTTACTGCCTAAAGAGTCAAAACATGGCAAATGAATCATTTTTATTCCTTCAAGGTCTTGATCTTATCACCATTAATGTTGCCAGACCAGTTACAGAAAAGTTCAATCTTAAATTTTTCCTTGGGTTTTGGTCCTTTTAAAAAGGTGCCATCATTCACTATGTGACAAAAACTATATTATGCCAATGGCTTCAAGTGGGATTATCAATAATCTTACCTCTGCTTTGTTAACCTGTAAGATAACAATTCTAAATTAATAACTTATAAAGACTGAGTATTCATGAAAAGAAGTTACTAACATTATGTAAAATAAAAGTACAAATTATTACTTTACAGCATGGTAATCATTATTTTACTGCATAGAATCAGATAGCTAGTCACAAATTACTTATTAGTACAGAATTACTTCTTAGTAAAATTTCAGCTAAACTTTTAGCTGAAATGAATTGGAATTTCAGCTCTTTAAGTATTAGAAGTTGTTTTCAAATACTCTGGATGAAATTATTTCCACAACATATTTCAAGAACTTTATATCCTTTTAAGCAGGGTATACTGAATATAATTTATGTTTTACTTAAGAATTTGAAAAATTACAATAAATGTCAATTTCTATATATAAATACTAGAGGCCCAGTGCACAAAAATTTGTGCACTCGGGGGGGAAGGGGGGGTCCCTCAGCCCGGCCTGTGCCCTCTCGCAGTCTGGGACCCCTCGGGAGATAACGACCTGCTGGCTTAGGCCTGCTCCCGGGTGGCAGAGGGCAGGCCCAATCCCTAAGTGCAGCCCCTGGTCAGGCTCAGAGCAGGGCCGATTGGGGAGTAGGGGCGCCGCCCCGTCATGCACAGAGCAGGGCGGATCGGGAGGTTGCAATGCCACCCTCAGTCACGCTCAGGGTAGGGCCGATTGGGGGGTTGGGGCACCACCCCCTGTCACACTCAAGGCAGGGTCGATGGGGAGGTTGCGGTGCCACCCCCTGTCACACACAGAGCAGGGCGGATAGGAGGGTTGTGGCCCCGCCCCCTGTCACACACAGAGCAGGGCGGATAGGAGGGTTGTGGCCCCGCCCCCTGTCACACACAGAGCAGGGCGGATAGGAGGGTTGTGGCCCCGCCCCCTGTCACACACAGAGCAGGGCGGATAGGAGGGTTGTGGCCCCGCCCCCTGTCACACACAGAGCAGGGCGGATAGGAGGGTTGTGGCCCCGCCCCCTGTCACACACAGAGCAGGGCGGATAGGAGGGTTGTGGCCCCGCCCCCTGTCACACACAGAGCAGGGCGGATAGGAGGGTTGTGGCCCCGCCCCCTGTCACACACAGAGCAGGGCGGATAGGAGGGTTGTGGCCCCGCCCCCTGTCACACACAGAGCAGGGCGGATAGGAGGGTTGTGGCCCCGCCCCCTGTCACACACAGAGCAGGGCGGATAGGAGGGTTGTGGCCCCGCCCCCTGTCACACACAGAGCAGGGCGGATAGGAGGGTTGTGGCCCCGCCCCCTGTCACACACAGAGCAGGGCGGATAGGAGGGTTGTGGCCCCGCCCCCTGTCACACACAGAGCAGGGCGGATAGGAGGGTTGTGGCCCCGCCCCCTGTCACACACAGAGCAGGGCGGATAGGAGGGTTGTGGCCCCGCCCCCTGTCACACACAGAGCAGGGCGGATAGGAGGGTTGTGGCCCCGCCCCCTGTCACACACAGAGCAGGGCGGATAGGAGGGTTGTGGCCCCGCCCCCTGTCACACACAGAGCCGCAGGGCAGTCAGG